TTACGTTTACACCACTTATTCATCCATTTCATGTCAAGAATATTAATGGGATCAAGTCAAGTTAGACACGTACATGATATAATATTTTATAATACTCACTGCAAAAAAGAAAGTGTGCATAGAAAATTATTGTACTGCAGATCTCAGGGATAGTTGACTGCTGTATCTTAAACCCGCTGTGAACTAAATTTTTAATAAAATGTGTACATTTTTTATTCTTTAGGGCCCCTTTTTTCTTTCAAAAGGCAACTGAAGGAATTCTTTTTTTTTTTAAGACGAGCTAATTATTTTCCGTTTCGAATTTTGTTCAAGTGGCGACCAAAGCTTAATACAGGGTGCCCACTATGGATAGGATCGGCCCGATCGCCCGACTCGATCGCCTCAAAAACAAATGTGTTTGTTTCCAGTTTCAGGCGATCGAGTCGGGCGATCAGCCCGATCCAGCCGTAGTGGGCACCCCGTATAATCCAGTTTCAGGACTATAAACAGACCTTGCGCAACTTGCACATCGGACCTTCCCTTATCGAGAAGGCTACCTGTTCAATTTTACATACACCAAAACATCAGGGGTCAGGCAGAAAGACACTGGTATTTAAGAGGGGAACAGGACCAGCAAGAGACAGGAGTAAGGGATCAAGAGAGGAACAAAGAGTTGCCTTGGAAGGGGTAAATAGGTTTATAGGGGTGGGAGCGGAGAAAGAGTAGCCGTTGTGACAGAGAAAAGAAGAAGTCAGTTAAACAGAACAGGATTAATATCTTCCCTAGGGTGAAACTGAAGTAAAAGCTGTCTTCTTAATGAAACAACGTGTTAATAGTGTTATCATCATCAGTGGCGGCTCGTGGTTTATAGAACTGACCGGCCGTCATTCACGTCGACTATTTCTCCCTCCCCCAACCCTTTCCTTCAAAGCACACACACACACACACACACACACACATTCATTCTCTCTCTCTCTCTCTCTCTCTCTCTCTCCTTATTTTATACCCCTACTTTCTCAATCCCCACCCCCTCCCCCACTCACACATACCACTGTAAACATTGTAATATAATATGAAAGAGCTAAAATATGCAGTAGTGTCAAGAAACAATTATTATGAATAACATATGATGGAAGTTACTGAGATTAATAGAAACTGACTTGATCGACACAGAAAAAGAAACACTACTAGGCCAGAAAACAAACTGAAAGTGAGAGGCAATAAACTGCTGGTCGACATGGACTGGACCCGTTAAATAATGTATAAGAACTGTCCAGTATAATGACAAAAAGTCAATTGATACTGAATGTATAAGAACTGTCCAGTATAATGACAAAAAGTCAATTGATACTGTACTAGTGACGCTGTCCCAAGCAGATCAAGTCTACGATCAGATACTATACAAAGCTGGACAAAGTTAGCACACAACAGTTTCCGATCATTATATCATCAAATTTTCTTCATCGCACTTCTCACTTCTCAGAACAGAACACAGTGTTGTAACTAAGTGGGGAAGTGTGTCAAACGCTAATTATAGAACTTTGTGTCTAGCAGGGGTGACGGTGGAAAAGGGGACGAAGGGAGGGGGTAGGCCTGGCCCAGACTCTGACAGCCGAGTGCCTATAGCTCCTTGTTAAAATTCTCCATATATCTTCACTAGACAAATCCTCCTTTCGTCGGCCAGACTCCTATGGGCCAGGTAAGTATTAGTAGGGAGAAAACGATGAGTAAATGCCAAACAGGAACTATAGGTGGTTAAAAAGTCAATAAACAAAAAAGATTAGTGCCATGCTGACAATAAATGTTCTGATAGTAGTTAGAGAAAGGCTGAATGATAAAAATACATGTTTTGCTGATAAAATATAATAGTGTCTGTGCTGCTCAAGACAGTCTCAATCTTAATTTTGTAAGCTAAAAAGAGGCCAATTTGGCAATTAAGGGATAACCTATTCGTTCTGAGGGCTGTCGATGGATTTGTCCATGGGACTGACGTCATCGCTAGGCCTAAGCCCGCCGTGTATTTGGCCTTGTACGTAGTAGCCTACGAAGTTCCACGACGTGACGGCTTGATGGGAGACGATTTAAAGTTGTGAGCCGGCGCGATAACAAAGGTGAAGGAATTAAGCTCTGTCGCGACAAATAAACAGCAGTGGGAAGGACTTCCGTAACGAGCGACCGCCCCAACAAAAACAATTGAAAGACCTGCCCCTACCCCTACCCTTACCCCTATCCGTAACCCTAACCCTACCCCTAATCCTAATAATCCTACCCCTACACCTAACCCTATCCCTAGCCTTCTATATATTCTGCTCTGTCTCATAGTGGTCGCTGGTTAGGGAAGTCCTCCCCAGCAGTGAATCCCACTTCTCTATTTGAGTGCCTTCAAATCGGCAAGAAGGTGCTTTTGAATGTTGATACTACATCTACATGATGTTTGTTTGGATTTACTTCAATCCGTTACTTCAAACTGAATGAAAATCATCAGCAGCAATAAATCTCCTGTCAACAGTCCAGCTGAAAAAAATTTGACCGGCACCGAAGGTCTTGCCCAGTTAACAAAACGCCTCTGGTTATCATGGTGTCTGCTAGTTTTCCAATAGAGGCCTATTTAGAGGAGGGGCCCGATTTGACTTACACTTACAGTACAGGTGAATTATCATTCTTCACTAATAAACAAAAAGAAAGCAACAAAAGATTTCAAATTTTAAAAAAAACATACATTTCGAGACGGTGTAAGTGTTCCATCAACGTCAAAAAGATACAGAGTCGACGTGTCACGTTGCGGTGCTGCCATGTTGTAGTTTGTATTGTCAACTGAAATGTAATGTCGTCACACTGGCTTTTAGTGATGCTACAGGGGGATGTAAACGTAAACTTTTTAGCCAAATGAGGGTCAAAACAAAACCCGTTTCATACTCCCCAGATTTTTTTTATGGATCATGGCAGAGAATTAAATACTCTCTGATCATGGTCATATCCATATGACATAATTCTGTGTGTCATATATATGTATTCAAACACAACTAATTAGGCCTACAATTAAAGACTTGAGAAGTTAGGCCTAACGAAGTTCCAGGTTTTGAGTAGATCTAGGTCTAGTAGTAGGCTAGCCTGTGTACAGACCATTTCCAAATTTTTCTCAGAATGACAGACACCCTCCAAAACGAACCGATTCCAGAACACTCAAACTTCAAAAAAGCAGCCTGGGATGGGTTTAAGTTGGGTTTGGCCGTGGTTTGGCCAGAGAGGGTTTACAGTAATAGAGAGGTGACACTCGTGGCGGCGTTCCATAACAACAGTGCATTGTTTCGCGTATCGCCCGGCGTGGGGCGCGAAAACACTTACGCGCGGTGATCGCTGCCACGGCGATGCTCAGGGATGCTGTCATGTCGTGAGAAAATGTAGTGCCGTCTTTAGTTAGTTCACTGGGTTACTAGATCTAGGTCTGTGGATTCTATCTCTCTTTTATTTAATTTTCCCCATTCTCTTTCGTCCCTTCCCAAGGCCCGCCCCTCCTCTTTCATCCCAGCCCCATCCCCTCTTCCTTGCGTGCATTCCCCCACCCCGCCCACCCCCACAACGTGGCCCAGCCCGATAAAACTCTATAAAAAGAAACGCCACAGTTCGTGATTTAGCCCACACTCAGTCGCCATATTTGATCCCCAACGCGGCGTACTGCTCGCGGCGCCGCGAAGAGAGAGGGGAGGCTCCATTAGTTCTAAACTCCTTGCAGAAACTGTAAGACTTATTTTTGGCTTTTGTTAACAAAGATATAGGCGCCTACATTCTAATAAACAAATAGACGCCTGACGCAGATATATTACTTCATCTCTATAGATCTGAAAAAATAATATCACCGTAATAAAAGGAATAATCAGTAAAATTTTCAGCAAATCTACTCGTTCTCGTGTGTCCCTCCCTCATATCTCTCTCCCTCTCTGTCTGTCAGTCTGTCTATCTGTCTGTCTGTCTGTCTGTCTCTCTCTCTGTCTCTGTCTCCCCCCCTCTCTCTCTCTGTCTGTCTCTCTCTCTCTGTCTCTCTCTCTCTCTCTCTCTCTCTCTCTCTCTCTCTCTCTCTCTCTCTCTCTCTCTCTCTCTTTCTTTCTCCATCTCTCTTTATCGTCCTCTCTCGCTCTATTTGTGTGTCTGTGTGTCTGTCTGTCTGTCTGTCTGTCTGTCTGTCTGTTTCGTCTGTCTCTCTCTCTCTTTCTCTCTCCCTGTCTCTTCTTCTCCTCCTTCTCTCGCCCTGTCTGTCTGTCTGTCTGTCTGTCTGCCTGTCTGTCTGTCTGTCTGTCTGTCTCTCTCTCTCTCTCTCTCTCTCTCTCTCTCTCTCTCTCTCTCTCTCTCTCTCTATCTATCTATCTATCTCGCCATCTTTCGTTCTGCCTCTGTCTCTTTCTCTCTCCACCCCCCCCCCTCTCTCTCTCTCTCTCTCTCTCTCTCTCTCTCTCTCTCCCCCTTTCTCTGTCTTTCTTTCTCCCCTCTCTCGCCCTGTCTATATGTCTGTCTGTCAATCTGTTTCTTTGTCTCTGTCTCTGTTTCTATCTGTCTGTCTGTCTGTCTGTCTGTCTGTCTGTCTTTTTTTGTTTTTGTTTTTGTAAAGTGTTTTACGGCGCTCGTAACTGCATAAGGTCATATGAGCGCGAGGGACACACCTAATATTTTCAGTTGGTAGGAAATTTTGAATTTTGCCCGGGTGGCGGCCGATTTTAGACCACCAAGGGATCTTTAACGTGCGCAACTTGCACACGGGCCCTCCGAGATTTTTCGCCCTGTCCAAGAAGGCTAGGTGTAGATCTTTCCTACCGGAAGATCAGGGGTGTGGCAGAAAGACAGCACTAAGGAGTTAGTAAGGAGGAGCCAAGGAGTAACAGTAGAAAGGCTGCAGAAAGAGTCAGGAGCCCAGAGGAGGGGGCAAAGCAGGTGAAGGGGTGGGGGGCAGAAAGTGGAAATGAAAGCAGACAACAGAACATTGCTAGAGAGCAGGAAAGGAGGTGAAAGGAGACAATTTTAGAGAAGAAGATGTTTTGGTCGCTACCCGGATTCGAACCCGGAACCTTTGAATAAGAGGCCAACACCTTAACCTCTAGGCCACGAGAGCCTCCTCTGTCTGTCTGTCTGTCTGTCTGTCTGTCTGTATGTCTGTCTGTCTGTCTGTCTGTCTGTCTGTCTTCTGTCTGTCTGTCTGTCTGTCTCTCTCTCTCTCTCTCTCTCTCTCTCTCTCTCTCTCTCTTTCTTTCTCTCCCCCCCTCTCTCTCTCTCTCTCTCTCTCTCTCTCTCTTTCTCTCTCTCTCTCACACGCACATACACACACACACACACACACACACACACACACACACACACACACACACACACACACACACACATTATATTAAATACTCACAATTTCAGATCATGGAAAAGTACATGAAGCAATAATGATAGATCTACCAGTTAAAGAATTTAATAAGATTCCCAACACCTTCCATCCCCCATTCCCCCCCCCCCCAAAAAAAAGGTGGTAATCGGACAAAGAAAGTACCAAAACCAATCGATGGTACTTTGTGTTTAGACATCTTTTCGCAGACCCAGGTAAGATATCTTTCACTAGTAGAATGCAAGCTCTATTTGGGCATTTAGACAGTGGAAAAAACACAATTTATAGCTGATATAACAAAGTTGAAGTGTGTTAAGTTTGTGCATGGAGTGTCAGTCTGGTAGGACCACAATCACATTGTCATTATTTTGATCTATATTTTTTCTATTCATCAAAATATATTCGTCACACTTTGGAAATCGAAAGAAACTCAGATTTTTATTTTTATTAGGTGCAGTTTATAGCAGAACACCACGTGACACTTCGTGCTAACCGGGGCCACGCTTGTCTGTGATCAACGAAAATGCCTTGAACAATGGACGCAGTTTGTTTTGTTTACTGCACGTTTCTCCACGATCAGCTGGTGACCCAGATACGCGTATCCGGGCGAAGTGTCATCTCTCTAGTATTACTGTAAACTATCCTTTCACCAGGCACACACACAAAATATTATAGTCTCTGTAGTCTGATTGCTCTTAAAACCAACACATTTCACGAAACACGCTAGCCTAGCCTATAAAATCTACTCTTCCAGGCGAGATCAGAGAGTTTACAGTAATTGGGAGACGGTACTCGTGGCGTTAATACAGTCAGAGATCGTTATATGTACGATCTTTGATACAGTCAAGGACCTTACAACAACACTGTATACCTCCTTGGATACAGTATACAGTGTATTGTTTCGCGTATCGCCCTACACGAAACCTATAATATAATTTGATTACCGCAGCCATGGATTGCTGCAATGCCATTAAAAAATGTTGTGCCGTCTGTAGTTAGTTCACTAGGTTACAAGGCCTCCAAGGCAAAAGAGGATAATCTGTAACTTCTATCACATAGTTAAGGCTTAAGGCCTCTGTCTCCTTCGGCTGAAAGAGATGTTTTTGAACTAAATAAGTTACCGTACGTTCTAATAAACTAATAGACACAGATAGCCTACACTACTTCGTCTCTATAGATCTGAACAAATATCACCGTAATCAAAGGCATACAGTAATCGGTTTAAGTTTCAGCAAAACTACTCATTCTTCAATGTCTTCTATCCTCGACCCCCC